AAAAAGGAGTGCATAAAAGAATATTGTCCAAGTTGGCACCGGAGTTGGGGAGTTTTAAGAGGTTTAGAAGCCTGGCCATCAATACCCACAACAGTTATGGAGGCAAGGGATACAGGCCCTTGAAAAGAAGGTAATGTGGAGTGGGTAGCCTCTGTGTTGATTAAACAGGGGATGGACTTAACCCTCCACTGTGAGAGTTACCCGGAACTCGGCATCCGTGATGGTCCAGGGGGCTTCCAAGGTGATCGGGCAGCGTCACTCTTCAGCCACTAAGCCGAGCAGATCTGGGAAGGAGTCAGAGAGCCTTGGACTAGAGCTTTAGGGGCTCTAGGAGTGGCTGCCAGGCAAGCTGGGCAGTCTGATTTCCAGTGGGTCCCTGCACAGATGCGACATGGCTTGGGAGGAATCCCCGGCTGCAGGCATTCCTTGGCCCAGTGGCCAGATTTCTGGCACTTGAAGCAAGATACTGGTGGAGGAAGTCCTGTAGGAATGCTTGACTGCTGCGGCTTAGGCATGTGCGGCTTAGGCATTTTGAAGTTCTTGTGTGCTGGAGGTGTGGCTGGGTTTTGTCTCACAGCAGGGGCAAGTAATTGTAACTCTTTTTTATTATTGTACGCCCGGAAGGTGAGATTAATTAAGTCCTGTTGTGGGGTTTGAGGGCTGGAATTTAATTTTCAGAGCTTTATTTGATGTTGGGAGTGGATTGGGTAATAAAATAAAATGTATATTGAGAATAAGACAGCCTTCTGACCTTTCAGGGTCTAGGGCTGTAAAGCATTTCAGGGTTGCTGCCAAACAGGCCATGAACTGGGTTGTTTTTCATATATGATGAAAAAGAGCCTAAACACCAACTGATTTGGGAGAAGTCGGATAAAGAAAAAGGAGTGTTAACCTTGACTATGACTTTAGCTCCAGCCACCTCTTTAAGAGGAAATTGTTGGGCAGGTAGGGGAGGGCTAGAAACTGTAAGCCAGTCGGGGTATGAGGAGGGGAGGTGATAAAAGAATTATAGGGTGGAGGAGTAGAGGCTGAGGAAGAATTGGGACCTGGCTCAGCCTGGTGAGAAGCAGCCTGGGGAGGATGGGAGAGGTCAGATGGGTCCATAGAAAAGGAAGATTGGAAAGACTCAGCGACGCTTGGGGTTGGAACTGAGGGGACAGGCGGGAGGGAAAGAAGGAAGATTTGGGACAAGTTGTATTGGTCCCTAGGGAGGGACCAATACGTTAAAGAATGCCTGGACGTCAGGCATCTCAGACCATTTGCTCATTTTACAACAAGAATTATCTAGATCTTGTAGGATGGAAAAATTGAAAGTGCCGTTTTCTGGCTATTTTTGAACCATTGTCGAGTTTCTATTGGGGTTAAGCGGCATTGCAGAAGAAAATAAGGCATTTAGGTTTTAGGTCAGGTGTGAGTTGAAGAAGTTTTAAGTTCTTGAGAATGCAGGCTAAGGGAGAAGAAGGAATGGAGGGTGGAAAGTTGCCTATAGTGGAGGAGGCAAGTCCCAAGAACAGAGAGGGTAGAGACACGGAGAGAAGGGGTTGGGGGTGCTTGCCTCCCAGGAAAGTAGAGAGAAAAGGGAGGGAGAGACATGGAGAGAAGGGGTGGGGGGTGCTTGCCCCCCAGGAAAGTGGAGAAGGGGTGGGAGGTGCTTGCCCCTCAGGAAAGTGGAGAAGGAGTGGGGGGTGCTTGCCCCCCAGGAAAGTAGAGAGAAAAGAGAGGGTAGAGACTGGGAGAGAAGGGATGGGGTGTGCTTGCCCCCCAGGAAAGTGGAGAAGGGGTGGGAGGTGCTTGCCCCCCAGGAAAGTGGAGAAGGGGTGGGAAGTGCTTCCCCCCCAGGAAAGTGGAAAAGGGGTGGGAGGTGCTTGCCCCCAGGAAAGTAGAAGAGGGGTAGAGACATGGAGAGAAGGGGTGGGGGGTGCTTGCCCCCTAGAAAAGCGATTCTTGCTGCTAAGGGTGAAGGATCAAGGCAGGCGTCCCCATGGTGATCAGACACCTCTGAAACATGGGTGAATAATCAAGCAGGCATCTGTGCAGTGATTAAACACCAAGGGAAGACTGTCTTCCAGAGTCCATGACTGGCGCTGGAGTTTTGGGTTCACAGATAAAACGCGTCTTCTCTGTTTCTATCAGAAAAGTCAAGGAACTGAAATTAAGAGAAGGGAGAGATTGAAGGATGACGCCAAGATTGAAGGGAGAAAGGGGTTGAGCGATAGTGAGAGAGGTTGGAGAAGGAGTAAAGAGAGGCCGCTTACCCAATTTAAAATTGGTGAGATGTTCCTTGGGCTGGTTGGTGTGAGGACCCGAGGTTGTAGGTGGATCTTTCTCACAGAGCAAAGAGCAGGAGGACAGGGGATTGATCTCGCAAGGGAGGTCCCACAATCCGAGTCACGACACCAAATTTCTCTCGCGTCCGTGTGAAGAGACCACCAAACGGGGTTTGTGTGACCTATAAAACTTTTTATTTCACCTGGGTGCAGGTGGGCTAAGTCCGAAAAGAGTCAGCTAAGGGAGATAGGGGTGGGGCCGTTTTATAGGATTTGGGTAGGTAGTAGAAAATTACAGTCAAAGGGAGTTGTTCTCTGGTGGGCAGGGACCGGGGACACAAGGTGCTTAGTTGGGGAGCTTTTGGGCCAGGAGAAGGAATTTCACAGGTAATGTCATCAATTAAGGCAGGAACAGGCCATTTTCACTTCTTTTGTGATTCTTCAGTTACCTTAGGCCATCTGGATGTATACGTGCAGGTCACAGGGATATGATGGCTTAGCTTGGGCTCAGAGGCCTGGCAGAACCTATTGAAGATGCAAAAAAATATTTGTGACTCTTGGAACAGTAACAAAAAGTTGTTCTGACTTTTTGTTTTCTGAACCTGAAATTGTGGAGCTGTTTTAAAAAATAGAATTTCAACTTGAGACTTGTGCAACTTGATTTTAACTTGATTGCAGAGCATCTGTATAGCTCATGTTGCATGTCCAGTTTATGGCTTTGTATTATTGAAGTGTATTTAAAGCTTCAAATGATGAGACCATACATAATTTAATGGTGGGTAAATCCTTTTTTTGTTTGTTTGTTTGGTTTTAAGGAGTGGAGAGTTTAACAGGCCAGAAAGAAGGGAGAAGGCAGAAGGAAGAAGCTCCCCCATACAGAGATGGAGGGAGGCTCCAAAGCCAAGATAAGGGAACCCCAAGTGTGGTAGACACCAGCCAGGTATATATGCAGAGGCTGGAGGAGGTGGTGTTCGATTTGCATAGGGCTCAGGGGATTGGTTTGACTAGGCACATCATTCACGTAGCTCATGAAAAATCTGGCCCTCCCACCCTAGTCTTTTAGTATGCAAATGCAGGGTGCCATGATGTTCTACCCACGTGGGGATATGTGGGGGTGGCCATGTTTCCAGGAACATGTGGGGCAAAGGCAAGAAGGCTGTGGGAATCGCAGTGTTTGCTGGCCTGGCTCTAAGAGCCTGGGCTTTACAAGAAACTTTTCCAGAGATGCTTTAAAAAATGAAAACTTTCTAAGGACCCCTTTTCCTCTCTGCCTAAAATATTTCTTAATAACTCCTACAACATTCCTCCCTGTGGAGAATGCCACACTAACTGCTGTTAGAGGGTTTTGGGCAACAACTCCTTCAGCTACTTCCTGCTGAAAAGGGGCATCAAATGGGGAACAGCAACTTGGGCTCCTCCTGGGGTTGATGTAAGGATCCTCGGAAGAATGCCGTGTCCATGTGTGGTTCAGTTTGCAACACCATTTGGAGTTTGATTGCTTCTAGGTGAGAAGAAACAATTTGAGTTACAGTATTGAATATACAGGACCCAAATATCAATACAAGACGTATAAAAAGAGAGGGCTTAATAAAGGAGTTATCTAATTCCATAAAGAAGACTGGAATTTATTAAAGAGGGTAGCCACATGGGGTTGAATATGGTGTTTTCCCTGAGCCTGTCAATAATTTTGATTTGATCTTTAAGTACCTGTAGATTTTTCTCTACTTTACTAGAGGTGTTAATCATCCCTAAACCCAATAAAAAGTCCTAGCAGACTCAGTGATAGTAAAATTTTCATGCTTCCTTGTCGGTAACTATTATTCCTGCTATAAGGATAATAATTAAGCAAAATACAACAGAAATGGAAACTCTGCCCAATATTTCAGTTAGAAGGTGCTACTGTGTGTATTCCTATTGCAAACAGTAAAGTGAGTATACCAGTTCCCACAAGTGTGGTGTAGTAGATGATTTCCATCTAAAATTGTAGTTGCCAAGGTAATTTCCCTTTGGTGGTCTATGAAGCTTTAGTTTTATTTTCCTAAGCAAAGAAACCTCCGGGTTATGGGTACCCTACTTACTTTCATTACCCGGCAGAATTTGCAAGATAATTGCCCAGAACTAGTATATTGATTCAGATTTTTACATTACCCATCCCTTTTTCTTTCTTCTGAGCTGCAGAAGATTACCACTTGAGTCACAGGAATAAGCAGGATTAGTTTAAAACGTAGGCAAAAAGCTTAAACACAGTTAATGAGACTAGGATTTAATGACAAATGTATGCTAAGCTTTGGGGCACAATTTTTCTCTCCAGTTCTCATTTTTGGTAAAAACCAATTGTGAATGAACTTTAATCTTATACTTGGCCTGATTATTTGCATGAAGTGTTAGCAAGAATAGTTTTTCTACATAGGTCTTTTGGATTGGCTTTGATGAAACTCTGTTCCACAAGGAATCTTAGGTAAGACCTTTAAAACAGAGCCCAGCTGTGGGTTTGTATCCTCAAATACCTGTAAGTTGGGTGATCCTCTCTTCTTCAGGTCCCCAGAAACTTGGAGCTTCCAGACCTCTTAGAAAGTGACATTCTTCACTGACCACAGGTTAGGAACCCTGTGCAGGGACTGTGTAGACAAGGTACGATGCCAGTTCTCCCAGGGGCTTTTATTGGCTCTGCATGTCAAGCTTGATTCCTTAAAGGGAGACACACCCTTTCAGTCAAAGCCTTGGTAAAATAACCAGTTTTTCCGACTGTGTCCTGTTGACAAAGAAAAATGGATTCTTACTGCACTAATGCAAACAACTATATTGCTATAAGTTAAGAGTACTTACGGGTAGTCTCCAAATTAAAGAGGAACCAGGTGGGGGAAAATGAACATTGTTACTCATGTCTGTATAAAGACCACCTGAGCAGGCTTAGTGTGATCAGCAAGGCTGTTTACTCACTTGGGTGCAAGTGGGCTGAGTCTGAGATAGGAGTCAGTGAAGGATGGTGGGATTAGCTTTGGTTCTTATATTAGCATTGGTTCTTATATTAGCATTGGTTCTTTGGGATAGGTGTTGGAGTCAGGAGCAGTTTTTTTGTGGGCAAGGGATGGATGTTACAAAGTACATTCTCAAGGGTGGGGAGGATGTTACAAAGTACATTCACAAGGGCAGGAAGGAATGTTACAGAGTACATTCACAAGGGCCGGAGGGTGTATTGTCATAAGGGCAGGGAGGAATGTAACAAAGTACATTCACAAGGACAGGGAATATCACAAAGCACATTATCATAAAGGCGGGGGAATATCACGATGGTTTGACCATGGTGCAGCCAGCTCAGAGGACCTTACAAACTTGCTCCAAATTTTATTATAGTAGTATACCTTACTCAATTATTAAAGGCCGTAAATAGTTTAAAATAAGTTTCCTTGACTCTGAAAAACAAAACAAGGATCAACAATATTCCTAACAAAAGTTAAAAAGTTGCTTAAACTTTTTGAGTGCAATCCACTTAGTTAACTCTTGTTTTGCTTGATATTTGTGAACATATCAGTTCTTTAGGAGTCCCATACCTTCTTTCTCAATTTCAGTGTTACAATCTTCAAAGCTATTAAAAACCAGCATTTGAGAACACCTGTTAATGTCCTTAATATAGCTTGATTATAAACCATCTTTTGAGAAGGAACAAAGCAAGACAACAATTGTCTGCAAATGACAAAATTTTCAGGATAGCTACGGTTAAAAACATGACTGATTAATTTATTTATTTCCATGGTTTACAGTAACTTTACCCTTAATTGTGATTGATAGCATATACTTGGGCATTAGAATTTTAGAAATCCCATACAAGTTTGGAACATGTATTAGTATTATTTACCGAAATATAATGTAAAGAAGATTGGACATCATCTTGGCAATCTTATGTAACTAAACGTGTCAAATAATCCTGTCTACCTTTTCTTTGAATGTTTCAGGGGCCCTCTGAGCCATCCAGAAAGCCAGGCATCAGTAAGGACAATTTCCAGATTGGCATAAATTATTTTGCCAAAATGATGACTTAAAAGGCAAAAACGTTTCATTAGCCTTTACTATGAGATGAAAATTTTGTTTAAAACCAAATTTTACAATTGCATTTAGTTTATTGATGTTAACCCCAATTAGGTTAAATGAAACCTTATAGATTATTTCATCTAATTTTAACCAATTTGACCATGAAGTAGAAATCTTACAAACCTTTCACAACCTTTTTACTAAAGGGTGGATTGTGCCTTAAGACCTTCTTGCTATGCTTTTATTTCAGTGCTTAATTTATGAAAAGAACATATAAATATAATGGGAGAAGACACTGTAGTGCTTCTACCATGCATGTCATTGCAAGGCAACCCAAAGCCAATTGGCTTATTTTGTAATCAGTCCATCCCTGATGGGAGTCTCATCTCCCAGTGCGGGGTGAGGATGTTTCCTTATCTTCCAGGTGGCCAAGAGCATACTTTTCTAATTTATAACTACTATTAGCCATCCCTTACAGTGTGTTTTCTACCTAGTTATTACACAGCAAAGCTTTTCATAATGTGAAGTAATTTGATAACCCCCCCATACTTAAAACACAATAGACAACACAATGCAAAACAGAATAGAGCCTTTGATTTTGAGAGGGATCCATCTCCTTTTAATTCCTGGGATTTCATGAGGAAAGAAACGGTTTTTTTTTTTTTTCCCCAAAACGGGGTCTGTGGCATCTCGTTTTTCCCAAGGAGTTTCATGCTACCAAAAGTTATCTTAGGACCTCTTATGCATGCATTAAGAGTGGTAAGACAAAAAAATGGAGAAAAATAATTCAGTCAACTGAGAAGAGGAGAGCCTTTTTCCAGAAAAGCGGATCTAAGAAGAGAAAAACATAAAAGCCTTTTAAATATACCTATAACTTGAATATCCACTTTTAATTAAGCTGAGCACTCTTTAAGGAAATCCTTTTAAATCCCTTGTTACTTGACTTTAGCCATGCCAAGCATTTAAGATTTTCGGCTTTAGAACTTTTGAAAGTAAACTCACGGTGAAACCAGCAAGCCTTAATCAGGTTTTGACTCAACTGAGTGTGTACAAAGTATTTTCAAAATTGTGATTGAGACAGTGAAAGAGATCCAACCCAAACAACTCCGTTTTGTTTCCAGCCCCCAAGCTGTCCTTGCCCATCCCTCAGGGTAGGCCAAACAAACTTTGGGAGGAGCCGAGTTTACATTCTACAGTCAAAAACAAAGATGATAAAATAGCTGATAATAGCCGCTTCCCATGATATACTTCCCTCTTGCCTGGGGACCAGACCGGAAACTAACCACAATATTAGAAACCATGGCCCAGGAGCCATGCAGCTGGAAGCTACAAGATTTTGACCTTCCCTAAACTGCTCTCAAGATCAGGCTTAAGATATTTTGTAAACCCTGCCCTTGATGGATCAGCTGGTACCATCCTGATTGACTAACTGGATTATCTGATTTTGTGGCCCTCACCCAGGAACTGACTTAGCACAAGAAGACAGCCACCATTGTGAAATGGTGAAGACTAAAACAAAGTGTTGCCACGCGGTTGCAGATCATGTTCCCAAGGACATGAAATGAGATGGAGGCTGTAACCAAGCTTGCTACGGGCTGGCTTGAACAGCAGGCTTATGGAGTCCTGGGCCTGCATCCTAACCTAAGGTACCCTTTCTTTGACGGAACCATACAGAAAGACATGCAGAGCACACCACATTGTTTATAGCATAAGACCAACCTCACAAATCCTTCTTCATTAATTATAAATTTACAGAGAATATAAACAATGATCCTTATTATCCCTTTTGCCAGTTTGCACAGGGAGAGAAAAGCCAAAAGCCCAGTTGGTAAGACATTTTTACGCTTTTGCTGGCATATCAGGCTTCTGGGTTCCCTTCCCCCTAGTTTAACTTTAAGCCAAGCGTTTTAAGGTTTGGAAAATTAACCTTTTTCAGGTTGGAAGAACATTATGAAAGAGACAGAAGCCATGTTAAACCATGAAAAAAGGAAAAATTAGAAAGGAATTCCAGTTAGGGTTTTCAAGAAGTATTGCCTCTCTTCCTATTGAGAATGGTGTTTCCTCTATTTCTTTGCCTTCCCTATTTTTTCTTTTCCCTTTTGGCGTACTATGGGAGATACATTGCTTATCTCCAAAATTCTCTTCTGCTTGCAGAGCTGCCTGTTTTAGCTGCAGTGAGGGCTTGACTTAGCAGCAACATAACTGATTTTTTTTATGCGACCACCGGAGCAGGCGCCAGAGATGAGGCAAGTAGGTAAGGTAAAAAAAAGCTTTATCAGCTAGCCAATGTGAAGGAGGAAAGGGCAAGGTTCACTGGTCTCCCGCAGTGGAGGCTGAGAAAGTCGCTCTGGCGGTGGAGGCTGAGGAAGTCGCTCCGGCGTTCTCGGTTGAGGTTCCTAGGTCCGCATATGAGGAGGGGCCGAGGAAGTTCGCACCGGACGTCTGCTGGGAGCGGCTTTTTATGTCTAGGGCCTGGGAGTGGGAGGGCAGTAGGCGGGACACCGGCGTGTCGGGGGCATTCCCTAGGCGCGGCCAGGTAGGTTTCGGTTTCCTCCTTGGGACGTCACGTTGCGCCTGCGCAGTTGGTCTGCATTTTTCCGGGGCACGGGCTACATTTTCCCGCGCGTAAGTTGGTGATAAAGAACCTGGAAATGCGCCATCTTAGTCGTCTTTGTCCTCTCCCCCATGTCCAGACAATAACATCCTCCCGTGTGAGGTTAAATGCCTGAGTTAAATTTTGGAAAGCTTCTGTATACCTATTAGGGTTGTTAGAAAATCAGTCTAAATCTCCTTTTACTTGTGTAAAGTCCTGCAATGAGCAGGGAACTTGAAGGTGCCCCAAATAAGGGGGACCCTCAGATGATTTCCCTGAAAGTTACTTTTTTTTAATTTTGGGGAACTGTTTTCCCTGGGCTTGCCCAATATGGTTGCTAAAAGATCTGAGTTGATCTTAAAACACTTGCAGAGGTTTAGTAGAAATGCCATGCTGTTGTGCAAAAGAAAATGAGTTGCTTTCTTTAAAGTTCTGAGGTTAAGGAAGTTCCAGTGTTTCAGAGTGCACTCCAGAGGGGTGCAAGCTGAAGACAATTTATTACCCAGTTAGAAAAAGAAACGAGAATAAAAACGTTTTCTTAGTTTCCTTCCTTTCTGTATGACCCAGAGTGGAGGAGAAGACAGGGAGTATCCTCTGAATATCTTACCTCCCCGGTTTCTGGATTCCGGCACTTTCTTAAATGTGCTCCCCTATGGTTGTAGGCGTGGTCCTCCAGGCCGTGGATCCGGATGAACTAAGTGATGGGGCTAACCACGTGTACCCAAGCAGCCTTAGCTTATCCGCCTTGTGTGATTTCCCTTTGACTTCCTCGAACCAGTGTGATTTGCCTGGATCCCCCCCTCCCAAAAAAAAACGATCTGGAGAGACTGTAGCCTTTGGGCAAGGCTCCTTTAATGGGGGCAGTGTGCTATAGATTGCCTGCTATTACGGCCTGTGCTAAAGCATTTACACTTAAAAGAAAACTGTTCTGGTTAACTTCGGAACTTAAACTTCCCTTACTAATTAAGTACTATGTTAACTGGGACAGAATAGATGCCTTAAAAAAAACGTAGGAATTGGAATGGCCATTTTCCCACTAATAGGACAATATCAGGACTAAAATCTGGCTGTGGAAGACATTTTACTCCTAACTTAAAAGCAGAAACTTCCGTTCTCGGAAGAGTCCTAGAGCTTGATTTCTACCAGAGAAACCGGAGAGAGAGAGTTACTGAGTTACTACTGCCTGCTGTGATTCTCCATCTTTTCTAACAGACATTTCTTCCCTAAACTGTAAGGATTCCTGCACAGTAGACACACACACAGAGGGTAAGAGACTGCGGATAAAAAGAGAAAGTTTGGCGACAGGGTAGATGGAAGAAAGCATTGAGATTATAGGACAGATTTAAAGTTGAAATCCGCTGCGTACTCACCAATCTGATGAATGAATTTCTTTTAGGGGCCAATGCACCAAAATGATAACAGCTCTGATGAGTGAAGGAACACCAGGGTTCTTGGTACTCATACTGTTTTAGATAAAATGACATGGACACACATGGAGTGGTTTTAAGGAGTGGAGAGTTTAATAGGCCAGAAAGAAGGTAGAAGGAAGAAACTCCCCCATACAGACCCGGGAAGCTGGGGTAGCGGGGGTGGGGGTGCTCCAAAGCTGAGAGAGAGAATTCCCTTACCCCCCCACCATTTTTTTAAAGAGACATAGTCTTGCTACATCACCCAGGCTGCGGTGTAGTGGTCATTCACAAGGGATCCTCCTGCCTCAACCTCCTAAGTAGCTGAGACTACAGGCACATGCCACCTGCACCTGGCAGTGGTTAAAGTCTTAATGATTATGTGGGCACATGCTTTATTCACTGATAATTATTTCATTTTTATTCCTTTTTGTTTTAATAAGATAGAAACTTCTTTAAAAGCTTTGAGAAAACTATTGAAAACTTTAGAGGTGTAGGCATGATTTGAAATACAACAGAAGCAGTTCTTTTGTTTTTGTGTATTTATTTAAAGAAGCAGAGTCTTACTCTGTTGCCCAGGCTGGAGTGCAGTGGTACAATCATAGCTCATTGCAGTCTTGTCCTGAGCTCAAGAGAGCCTCCTAAAATTCTGGGATTTCAGGCATGAGCCACTATGCCTGGCCCAGAAACAGTTTTCTTTACTAAATCAGGCAGCATAGATACCAATTTAGAAAAATCATTTCAACTGTAGCTCTCCCCTCCCTGCTCCAAAAAACTGGATGGCTTTTGCAAGCTGAGCAGTATGTTAGGTACTGGCGAGAGAAAGATACATGAACCCGTAGCTGCCATTTTGGGGGAGCTTTACTGATGAGTATACGTAAAGGTGTAAATGAAGGAATCATGAAAAAGTTGATGGGATAGTATTATAGTTTGACCATGGAGTTAGGGAATGGGAGCAGTGGAAAATGCTGAAACTAAGATAACCTTTAAAAGTTAGTTACAGGTCTATGGAGTAGACAAAATCAGTCCAGGCACTCCAGTCATAAAGATTAAAATGGTCAAAGTCATCTATATAAAAGGTCATGGAAGGCTTGGAGAAAGGCTCAGTATAGGCTTAGGGATAGGGAATGTCAGAAATAAAATGGCAGAAAGGTGAACTAGAGCTAGACCCTGTGTGCCAAGTTAAGCAGTTGGATTTAATTTTATGGAATTGGAAAGTACTATATTTTTAAAACAAGACTGTTAGGTGAAGTCTATGGGGTTGTTGGCAGAGAGTAGTAAAAGTTATTGGCCCAGTGAAAAATGATCAAATAATGGAAGGAGAAAAGTGTCATCAGAGTGGTTAAAATAGAACAACGGAGAGATACTAGATTTGGGGGTGGGGAATGAATAAGGTGAGCTGCTTTGCCCCCTTATTACAAGCTAGTTATTGTGTATTGCACTAGTGCCTCATAAAAAGAATCATAGCAACCCTGAGAGGTAAGATAGTCTATTTTGCTTTGTTTTGCCTTCTGAGAGTTTACACTGAAACAGTAGATGTGCTAGTGACTGTGTCTTTGGCTCCTAGTACAGTATTTAACACTTGGAAAGGTACTCATTTGGTAGCACCTTCCAAAGATTACATAAAACCTTGCAATTGGGTTTAAAATCAAATTGATGTAAATCTCAAACCGTGTTTCTATTTTTTTTTTTTTTTTGAGACGGAGTCTTGCCCTGTTGCCAGGGCTGGAGTGCAGTGGTGTGATCTTGGCTCACTGCAAGCTCCACCTCCTGGGTTCATGCCATTCTCCTGCCTCAGCCTCCCTAGTAGCTGGGACTACAGGCGCCCGCCACCACACCCAGCTAATTTTTTGTATTTTTTTTTTTTTTTTTTTAAAGCAGAGATTGGGTTTCACTGTGTTAGCCAGGATGGTCTCCATCTCCTGACCCTTGTGATCCGCCACCAGCCTCAGCCTCCCAAAGAGCTGGGATTACAGGCGTGAGCCACCGTGCCCGGCCCCGTGTTTCTGTTTTTAAAGAATGTTCCCACCAATTTTAGGTTCAAAGATCAAACTGTAAGAATGACTCTGTGTTACTCTTCTATGAGTACACAAATATTTTGTGCATCCTCAATGTTTTCTATGATACCCAAAGTTAGTGTTATACTACTTGATGATATCAAAATGAAGTGAGGGAGGAAGGAAAAGAATGCCATACAGGTTTCCTTTTGTGGATACTCCTTAGTAGGTAACAGTCAGACTGGGATTTCCAAATCTGGTTATACTTAAAGAGAATTGAACCTGAACCAAGTGGAAAGAGCACTGAAAGCTTTGCTTCCCTGCTTTAAACATTGTCTTTCATTGTACAGAAAATGAAGATTGAATATAGCCTGTTCCCGTTTGAGTTCTAGTCACCCAGAAATCAGAGAACTCTCAAGCCTCCATCTTCTTTATTTCATAATCCAGCAGGCTACCAGCCACCATGCAATATTTTTGGAGGAAGAAAATTTTGGTCAAAATAATGCATCAATTCTCAAAGTATGGTCCGGGAAACTGAGATGCCCTCAGACCCTTTTCAAGCGAGGTTCCAATAAAATCAAAACTAGACTGATACCCCAAGAATGTTATCTTTGCATTGTCCTCTTTCATTCTGTACCGTTGTACAGCTC